TATCCTCACACCCAATTCGGTAGACGTCAATGGTCACGACTTCTCATTGGAACACCAGGTAACTTCGCCTTGGAGTAAGCCACTAATGAGCATCAGATTAATTTTCAAGCGTTAGTTTGTAGGGATTTGATTGGTTTCAAGTTTGAACACTAATTAATATCAGTTAGAGAACCACTGAAAACCGGAGAGTACTGAACACCTGCCTTGTGCTTGTTTGAGACTCTCCGCCAGTATGCAGTCGTGACCCCACCGATAATCGAAACCAGGACTTTCAGGTTATGATGCAAGCTTGGTGACCAGTTAACCACTGGGACGGAATTTAATGACTCATGAATTCTAACTGCTGCGCCACAGCCAGCCAATTTCCTCAGAGAATATTCACTCTCGCACTCAACTAGATAGACGACCCCACTGATCAGTGGTTCTCCAACTAACTACCGACCTGTGATCAAACTTCTAAAAATAGTCATTTATCCTAAAAAAATAAGGAAATTTTTGAATACATCAGAAATCACCATTTTCCAACTGAAAACGCTTATACCAGACATTGAAGGGCTAAAAAGGCATAAACTCAGCGTTCAAATACAACTATAATCATCCCAACTAGTGATGAGTACAAAATTATTCGTATTATGATCGTGGAAAACACAATTGAACACCTGTACAGATAACTGTCGACTTTCATTTCCTGAAATACTGAGAACATGTGTTAACATGTGTCACTGTTTTTTTCATACACTTGAGAAAATGATGTATTCAAATGTGATCTTAAAAAAAGCGCGAATAGAACCGCTTGCTAGTTAAACTAAAACTCAAAAGTTGAATAACACAGATAGTCTTCAACTTTTTATTTTCTATGTGTCTATAGGTTGTAGACAATTCCTGATTGCTGTTTATTCTGGAAGATCATTAGTGTCCAGTGGGCTTTGATACTTCGCTTACCCAAACACTTGCAAAGCATAACTTTCCTTCACTTTTTGTAAAGTTTAACTAGATCTGGCCTTCCGAAATTGAATATGCGAGTGAGAGAGAGACATAAGCATAATATACATCGTAAAATCATCCATTTGCAATATTATGTTATTCGAGTCATTCTTATTACGTCTACCGTCTACATAGAACGGATAGACACTCACTGGTAATGTGATGTGTATAATTTAATTAATGGTATAACATCTCTTAAAAAAGTATCTCAGGTTATATATATATATATATATATATATATATATATATATATTATAAAGTCATCTTACAGATATTCCACGATCGCTCAATGTAGTTGTAAATGCCGAAAAATTCATAACTGAACCTAACTATATTCATGTATAAAATCATTACAATCGACCACATTGAATCACTGAGTCACACGCATCGTTCCAACTACAGGCGGAACTGACGAGGATATCAAAGCAAGGATCGGAAAAGCAAGACAAGCTTTCACTACTCTCAAGTCTGTGTGGAGGTCAACACTCAGCACTCAGCATCAAAAATAAGATCCGGATTTTCAACTCCAATGTGAAGTCAGTCAGTGCTACTATACAGATCAGAGACTTGGCCAGCGCGTCATAAAGAGCACATCAAACAAACTACACACCTTCATTAATAGCTGTCTTCGCTCAATACTCAAGATCAGATGGCCGGCCAGAAAGGATCAGCAACAGTGATCTCTGGGAGCGAACCAACCAGGAACCAATTGTGAAACAAATAAGAAGGAAGAAATGGAGATGGATTGGCTGGCCATACTCTGAGGAAACAATCCATCAAGTGACATCACTAGACAAGCCATTGCTCGAGTGGAACCCGAAAGGGAAGCGGCGAGTTGGTCGTCAGTGCAAGGGTGACTTGGAGGAGGTCATGTGAAGAGGAGATGAAAACGTGTGAGCAGACTTGGAGCCAGGTGGAGACTCTAGCAGAGAACCGAACGCAATGGTGACGCACGGCTGGAGCCCTATGTTCTTCTAGGAATTAAAGGAAATAATAATGATAATGTCAAATGTGTCACCTGACATCTACATAACTATTTTGCATATATATTTCATCCACTTTTAAAGAATAAATGAATCTTTCCACATAACGACTCTATAAAATCGAATTGAAATTAACTGCAAAACAAAAACCGCCCATTGCTGACCTTTACAATGGACGAAAGAAAATCTTCCCACTGCGAAATCTCTAACGTCTTTTCATACTGTTGCAGATGAAAAACATAAACAGTCGTTCAATACTCAACTGTTCCTAGTGATCGTCTACGTAATATCTACAACTGGGAAGTTAATTGAACCCTTATAAACTCTTCAATGTCTCATTGATATAAGAAAAAAAAATTGTGCACTGTGGTAGAGTGTAATTCCATTATGGGTAAATATCACCTTGATATGATTATGAGCAATAGATTGTGCTCGAAACGTCATCAGTAAACATTACTGTATAACACTGTGAGACTATATCAAAACAAAATTTACCCATAATGGAATTACTGTTCAATGTCTGTATTTATTGTCTGAGACAAAATGCAGAGTCTTCTGAACACCTTGAGCAGCAATCTTCGTATGTTTGGCATGCGATTCACCCCATGTAAAGTGTAAGATGCTGCTACAGGACTGGACTACTTCAACTCCTAGCTTAGGGATAGGGAGTGAAGTGATAGAACATGTTGACCACTTAACCTATTTGGGAAGTTGTATCAGCACCAACGGACTGATTGGTGACGAAATCTCAGCACGGATCAAAAAAGCTCGAGCTGCTTTCGCTAACTTACGACCATCTCTGGCGTAGGCGTGACATCCGGCTATCAACCAAGGGACGTGTGTACTGCTCAGCAGCTCGCTCCGTCCTTCTCTATGGCGGTGAGACGTGGCCATTGAGAGCGGAAGACATGAAGAGATTGTCTGTTTTTGACCACAGACGTTTACGATCTCTTTCTCACGTTAGGTGGCATAATAAGGTAAGTAATGTTGACGTTAGGCGCAGGGTGTTGGGCAAAGAGGGAAAATCAATCGACGAGGCTATAAAGTTACATAGATTGAGATGGCTAAGTCACGTACTGCGCATGCCTAACCATCGCCTCCCCCTCCCGACGGGCATTACTAGCTGATATAGGTGCAGGTTGGAAAGGAGTAAGTGGTGGCCAAACAAAAACACGGCATCAATCCATGAAATCCCTGACAGTTAAACTGAGTCAGGTAGGGAGATGAAAACTTCCGGGTTGGGGCCCTCGGGACTCTAAGAATCAATGGCTGGAGACAATAGGTGACATGGCTCAAAATCGTTGTCACTGGTGCAGATGTATTCAGTCTCTGTTATCTTTCATATTCCTTTCTACCATTACTCATTCTGTTTCACTCTTATACTTGTCAAACTCTACTGATTCTCTTCACTCATCTTCTTGTCTACTGCTGCAGTTCGGTGCCAAGTTCTATGTTGAATCCAGACAAACAGAGACATTTATTGTCTGATACACTGAAAAGGCATATAATTTTCCAAAAATAAAACAAACAACAAATACAGATAGACACTTGGTCATGGTATTGTATGTCAGTCTTACACTGGATATGAATTACAATTCATATTTGTTATACAAATACACCCCTGTTAAATGGTTAGGTTAGGTGGCAAAAATTAATTAATTCACTTAATTATGAAACGCAGCAGCAGTTAGATGAAATCATCATTTTATGAAACTAGGCAAAATAATGTTAGTGTGTCAATAGAGAGCTTTCTCTTTTTCTTTTGTTTTTTCCGTTTTATTTTCGTGTTAAAATCAGACAAAGTTATTAACAGATCTCTTAGAATGAATTCTTTGAAAGTCAACAGTTTAGTGTCAAATTTTTAATTTATAGTTAAGTGTGCAAAGAATTTCTTTAGGTTATATAGTCTTAATACATTATAGAACTGTAATCAACGTAGCATTGTTTGTATGCTGTAGGCAATCGATGATGATAACCCGTGTAAATTAAAATGCAGTCAGATTATTCTGTCCCACTGCTTCGCTTTGTTGTACTGAAAAATTTATAAGGGGGAAAAAATTGTACAGAATTGTTATCGTTTTGTTATAGGCATACAATAAATAGTTCATGCATTGGTGACACTTCTCACACAGAGTAGTTAAAACATACATAAGTACAGAAACAAACAAAGGAATTGACAAGTTCATCGTATAATTTAGACTGAGTTTTCAAAGCAAAACTTTGCACAGGAATATAACAGTTCATCGTGCCACACTCTATATACCATATATAGGTGGAGGAAAAACATTCAAAGTAACTATAATGAACAGAAGTCATCTCACACCAACAGTCTCCAGTGTTTCGAAACCCTCTCCCCCCCCACCAACCCAGCAGCCTACACTTCCCCCACGTGGCTCAAATCATAAGTTTATCGCCACAGTTAATGTGTGAGAGTTGGTGATACCACCCAGTTACCGGGATTCGAATCAGGCAACCACCTGAGTCAAGTGCTCAGGCGAATAAGTCACACATCCACATTTCAAAAAGTAAACGATCCCCGTATGAAATATGAATACTAAGAGATTATGGGAAGCAAAAAAGATTGGCATTCACAAATCACAGCATTAATTAATCAATTATCTGTGAAGTTGCACAAATGGTATATACAATACACACGATACACACACGTTAGGGTAAAATACACGACCTTTTCAACTAAAACAATTCTCCAGGAAAGTCATATTTGACTCGTGTTTTTATAGCCATAATGTAATAGATGTCACAAAGATGTATTGTGTAATCGCCCGCCTAGTGAGTCACCTTATAACTGTTTAAATCCTCCAAAACTACTCAGTGTATCTACATGTAAGTAGGACGTGAAGAAATACATTTGAAATACTCTGGCTTTTCACAACACAAGAGAAATAGACGTAAAACTACAGGATGAAACGATAATATCTTCTGCAAAACAAAGTCATGAGGTAAAACAACAGTCAGCATACAAAAAAGTAAATAATAATAGTAATAGTTTAAGGTAAGTATCTTGACACTTACACAGTTTGGGGTCCATTAGGCGATGAAATAACACCATTATCTATTTTAGCACCATTGTGCTCAGTGACACTAGAATGACGCTCGACTGGGCTGCTAATCATAGTAACATTTGTTAAAGTTACCGGTGAGCCATGGTCAATTATTGTTCCACGTTTCTTATGTGACATAGCTGCAAGCTCTGGTGAATATTCCTATTTATAATGATAAACATAAATAATAACAGTTATGTTAGTAGAGTGATTGTATGTATATTAAAAACATGATACTAGCACAACACAAATAATCGTATAGTTTTAAAAATTGCAAACGCTTCATTTATTCAGAATACGGCAAATTGATTAGTATCTATGGCCTTCTAGTATCGTTACATTCAAGTTCATAAGTTTCCCTTATTTTGAGCAACTCATACTTTCTTTTACTCTCCCCCTTGACAATCCTTAGAATTATGCACTGTATTTACGTGGATCAGTGGTATGAAACCGAACTACTGATTCAAGGACAAAGATTAAGAATAAAAATATACAGTAAGAATACAAATAATCTGTCTAATTAGCAGATCCTTCAACACTGAAAGTCCAATAACTTTTGTCACTGACAAGGCAATATAACGGATAGATCAGAATTATAAAATATAAGATAGACACGCTTGATGAAAATAACCTGCCTTAGACCTTAAGTGATAGAATTTGTTTCACCAATACATAAAATATAAAGAATTCATGAGGCAGGTAACAAAACAGCAATACATAGATAGGTGAGCTGAAATAAACTTATGTTACGTAGATATATTTATGCATAAAATTGTCTTGTAAAACATTGAGTGAAAGAAACTTTCAAAACACTTCAAGTATTATCAGAATTGGTTGGAGGATTTCATCATGAGATAACATCAATTAGAGGACCACCGTAAAACGTGCAGGGAGTACTGGACAGCTATTTCGTCCTAGTTTGGGACTCTTCATCAGTATGCACCCACCACAGACAGGGGTTCGAACCCTGGACCTTCCGGTTACAAGGCGAGTTCGTAGACCATTAAGCCAATGGGAGCCGATCCAATGGCCAGCGCATGAATTCTAACTTCTGCCAATTCATGGGCCATTGGATCGGGTCTCGGTGGCTTAATGGTCTACAAGCTCGCCTTGTAACCAAAAGGTCCAGGGTTCGAACTCCTGTCTGTGGTGGGTGCGTACTGATGAAGAGTCCCAAACTAGGACGAAATAGCTGTCCAGTACTCCCTGCACGTTTTACAGTGGTCCTCTAATTGATGTTATCTCATGATGAAATCCTCCAACTAATCAAACAAAATCCCTGCAAAAACCAATAATTGGAAGTGTTATCAGAATTCTTGTAAGATGAACATCCTCTGCCACTGAAATATCTACTTCAGTGTGAATTTCATTTCAATGAGAAGCTGTGACCGGTGGATTGCGCCAAGTTAGTTACTCACTAACTAGAGATATATCATGAATTGACGGGGTTTATAATTCATGGGTCAACAGATTTCAACACAGAGGTGGAATGGTAGGATTCTTGTATTGTAACATAAAGGTCCTGAATTTGGTCCGTGAGGAGATGGAAAAGTTATCTATAACAATCTAGTTTTTGTCTTCTAAATGGTTTCAGTTCGCGATGAAGGTGAACACACACTTAACAACCTGATTTTGAATGCTAAAAGTCTTTTGACACACTTTTTATGATATTCAAACAAGATTCAGTAAATGAAATATGTACACTCTTGATAAAATTGATGTCTCATACTTTAATGGATAAGAAAGGAATTAAACGTACGATTAACTGCTCACGAGCAAATGCCCAATTTAATGAATCACACTGTATTGTACGTATAAAACTAACCGATTATTGACTTTAGGATCATTTTATAAGTAATCTTTTCATATCGTAAGCTAAACACCTACCAAATAAGTTATCACTTTTGATTTACATTAACGCCTACTGATGTTCGATCAAATACATTGTGAGGAATAAAGTATGATTTAACCATTTAAACTTATTAGATGGGTTATTAGTAGGAGCGAAAGCTACAGAGTTTCCATTTCAACATACTCAACTGAGGTGTGAATGATTTTCAATGAGATACAAACGGGAAATAATTACATTCGGATAAATAATACCTAAATTTCTAGTTTTTATTCGATAGAAACATTTCAGAAGCCTAATTTGGCTCATATCTTTGCGTTCCGAGTGAAATATGGGGCTTCAAGCTTTGAGGTTTCAGTGGAGATGGCGTTCTTTATGCGGCTTAGGGTTTCTAACTCTGTGTTCGACCTTCCTTTAATTTCGGGTTTACTACCAACAAGGAGAGGTCTAGGAGTGCGTCAGGCAGGACCTACCTCGTGGTTGGCATTCTATGATTGAACCATAGACGCACCTGATTTCTGTTTAGACTATTCCGTGATCCTGTTGGTTTGGTAGAGTCATTTTATGTATCTATACTTGAACCAGCAGTAATTAACATAAAATTAAACTGACAAAACACGATCAAAGGGCAAGGAAAAGCAAAACACAGACTGGTGGTGCTACAAGGTTCAGTCGTTGATTGAAACTTCATTCACAAGGGCTTACTTAACCCAGTTATCATGTAAATAAATAACTGAGACGTAAATGCTCAATTTAACATTCACATATAAGAATGTAGGCGGGTATGATATTTTCGCAAGAAAAATACTCCAGATGACAATTAAGTTTCTCTTGTCAAATGTTTAATTGTAGAAAAAATCAGACTGCAAGATATATTAATGAAAGTTAGACAATATGACAATCAGTTTTACCCTTGGTGACAAAATACTCATTTATAGTATTTTCAAGTTCATTTATCAGTCAAAAACCCTAGCCATTCAATCACCAACGTAAATTCTCACAATACGCTTATTATATGCAGTAAAGTAAGTGTAAGTCATGGAACTACTGACATCTTTGGTAACAGAGTACACCTTTTATAAAAAGCCAAACTTTGTTAATAACCAGAAGGTGCTGGGTTCGAATCCCGGTGGGTGTGTACTGATGAAGAGCAAAAACTGGGACGAAACTGGAAGCTGTCCAGTACTCCCAGCTTGTTTTCCAATCCATCATCAGATTTAAAACGAATCAAATCCCTACAAACTAACTCACGAAAACACTCATCTAATTAATTCGGCACTAAAAATGATGCCGCTTGAGTGCAAACAAGTGGCTAATTTAGCATAGCCAGTGTTTCCAGGCCCTTGAATTATCGGGAAATAAACCTCATTAGACTCCAACTCCTTCGGAACATGAGCATTAACCTAATACAATAGTTTTCGGCGGTAGGTATATATCCACGACGAATATAAACAATGGAGAACTGATCCTAAGAGTACCAGCAATGAAAATAGAACTCAGATTCTCTCGATTTCACAGTACACATTTTGAGTTTAAGACCATAGTGACCTCAATTAGAAAATAGTGAAAGCATTAACCTAAACCGAGACTAACAACGAGGTGAATCAACAAACGCACACACACACAAATAGACAAGTAAGAAACGAAATAGATCATTGTTGCTTGTCTTTTTTGGAATTCACTTTCCTTCCCCTAAAATATTACAGAGTTTTGATCAATTGAGGAAAGTTCAAAAAAAGAAAATTGGGTAATCAAGCTAGAAAGTATACTGACATATAACTAGTTTATACTAAGACATGCAGAGTTGATACTAAATAGGCAATGATTACGCAAAATATTTTTCTCAAGGTCATTAAAGATAAATGCCCATTGTAGGACGGACATATAAATAATGAACATACCAACTCAAGTATTTGACGTAAATCGGATACTCACGTGCTTCTAAGTAGAAAGCAAATTCTAATCGAAGCGTTGTTTGTTTTTCTAAAGTAAAGTATATTTGTGGATGTCAGAAACAATTTCTTAACAGATCGATTATCACTAAATAAGGAAAAAACGTATTTCCCAAACTACCAAACTAGAAGATAGAAGGAGCAATATACGAATACACAATGAGTATACGTAGAAAGATCAAAAAGAAACAAACAGAGAATGAGATAAAAATATTTCAGTGAAAGAGCCAACTCATTTTTGTCCCTCATAAAACCGTAGACCAGCAAACAAGCTAGTATAACTATGGTAAAACTCACGATAAGTAGAATTTTGGTAGTATATAACTATTACGTTCTGCATACTCAGTTACCGTCGATATAAACCACACTTAACTGAGACAGAGCCGATAATACTACTGAGCTGTTCAAACTGAATTAGGATGGAACGAGACCTATTTGCTGAAAGTCGAGTGGTTAAGGCAATGAGCTACAACTTTTCCACTTCCTGAAAACTACTTTGACCAACACGAAATATATGAAGGTATACAAGTTTAGTTAACTGTATGGTTGGTTTTCGTAACACGATATATATCGCAACAGTAAAAACAGTAGTTTAGACCATAACTCTTCTCAGACATCCCAAGTGATAATGATCTGTAACTTCTTCATCTTATCTCGGTCTCTATGCCCACATAGTTTTATCAAATACCAGAAAAGATGTTGATATCCCTGAGGTTTCAGACGGTGTACCTGTGATGGCATTATTTCACAGCAGTTTAAGTAGGGCAAAGCTCACTGCTGTGCAATGATGCCATAGGTATATACTGATGAAAACTCCAGGAACTAGGACAAAACAGCCATCCAGTGCACTATATTCTTTTAATGCTTCTCCAACTGATATCGCCTCGAGATGAAACAGATACTGGGATTATTATTATTATTCAGTTTTTGAATTACACATGGATAACTTACCTCGAAACGTGGGAAAACAAAAGGCATATCAACCCCATGATTTACTGACCACCATTGTAAATCTGATTCAATATCACACTGTGAAATACTGTGTGCTAATTCATTGTAGATAGAGTCATAGCTAAAAAAAATTAAGCAATCGGACAAATAAGACAGCTTTAATAATAATAATAATAATAATAATTTAGATAAGGCAATAAGAAAACGTAATTTGTCTGAATCGTGTAATGCATTTGCGCAACACATTTCGAACAATCTGATCACACACGGACTTGTCATAGGAATATATATGAAATTAATAAAGAGTTAAGAGGTGAGAAAATAGACTTAGGTCAAGTTAAAAGGACATATTCAAGGTCAAAATAACAATGAAGATCACTAAACCAAATAACAGAGGTAATAGTACATCTGCTATGGTATCAAAACAAAATTTTACCAAAGAAGGTTTAGTGTGATGAATTGCTTTTGAACGCATAAAGGTGGTTTAAACTTGCTAATTTCTAGGGCTTCCACAAACTTTAGGATAGGTTTAAAAGATCTGTTTACGTCAATTTTATGTCCTGTCTCTATAATATGTTTCGCAATAGAGGAGCTAGGTCTCCTGTTCTCACCATTAATGGGTTCTGAAGATTCCATTTGTTTCTGAAGCCATTTAGGAATATGCTGTGAAGCCCTTACTTGCAGAGATCGATGAGTCCTCCCTATGTATGTGTGTCCACACGTACATTCAAATTGTCCGATTGTTCGAAATGTGTTGCGCAAATACATTACACGATTCAGACAAATTACGTCTTCTTATTGCTTTATCTAAATTCATAAAGGGAACTAATTGTTTTAATAATAATAATAACAGAAGCAGTTTGCTGAACTATAAAATCAAACTTATAACTCTGTAATTTCCTATCAATAAATTATTTATACGTTTAGAAATAAATTTTCGGCACCGTCACCATCCTTGCGTGTAATGTAGATATCACTGTGTAAATGGACTCGAAAAAGAATATTGAAATACTACTACTAATCAATTTACGCATGTATTTTATGTAACCGCTTTTGTATCTCACTTTCCTAATAATAGCACGAAAAATTACACTTGGCTAAGTGTACTATCCGCGACCCAGGCTCTCCAGTAGAACTCGACTGCGAAACGATGAGTGGGGCGTCTGAGGGGGACGTGGAGGAGACCGGTGTGAGGAGGAGGTGGTCAAAGACTATGGGCAATCGTGGAGTCAGCTTAAGAGGACCGCAGAGACTAGGACAAAGTGGATATAAGATGTTGAAGTCCCACGTTCCACTTGGAACCGAAATGAACAATAAATAATGCCAAGTACTATCCATCAAGTCTTAATTTTGCGCATAGAACAAGATGGTTAAAAACCGGAAAAGGAAAGCGATAAATCAACAGCACAAGTATGTAACTTACTCTGCTTTAGCACAAACATTTAAAGCATTATGCAGATTATGAAATGTCTCCTTGAAAAAGCAAAGACGCTCCCTTTCGAACTCTTGTGTTCGAGTAAAAACCTGAAATTGGAAGAAAAATTAAAAAAGGTGCAAATTATGATTTTTAATAATCTATCTCTCACGATGATCCAAAAGTCAAACAAAAATATTTAAAAAAAGGGATCAACAAAGAAATATTTTCAAATGATGAGAGGAATGTAACTCAGTTTACAGGCGGATGTTTGTGCACTATAAACTAACCCACAATCAACTTTCTTAAAGTTAATCGCTTAAATCAACAAGCCACAACTCGAATTACAATAAGCAGGGAAATAAATTATTACTACCCACCATCTATTTTTGTTAATATCTTTCTCTATATACAACTTTAACATATTTTAGGATATTTTTACCAAATAAAAAACTTTGCAATTTATCATTTCTTAGATCTGATAAAGAATGTTGGTTAATGTGAAAACATTTTATAACAATGACATAAGCGAATATATGTATAGCTTTCTTTAACTTAACTCCAAACTTTACTACAAACACACAAACAAACAGCAATATATGATTGAAGGCAATCAGCAGGAAGCCTTGCTCGACCTACATTTCGTGCTAGTTGATACTCACTAGTCAGTAAGGCGTATCTGCAACCTCGGAGGAACTCATGTCCCTTCTGTGATTCGAACCCGCGTCACCCAGTGCCACCTGTAGTCAAAGACGTTTCCACTGAGCTATTCGGGTTCGCGATTGACCTCCCGTAGGACTGTATTGGATATTTTTGATTGGCCACATTGCAAACTTGACTGATAGAATTCAGTCTACATCATAGATAGGACTAGACACATTACACTAGTTACTGACTAGTGTTCAATCAAAAACAACAAACAGCATACTTATCATTAGATTTAATTATAGAATAATTAGTAATACCAAATAATCAATATTTCAGGAAAGAGAAACAAATGTAACCAGTGATAGTATCGGATATCACTTTTACAGTCAAAAGTCTTTGATTCTCTCTATGTACAGATAAAGTGTAGATCATTCTATGCACTAATACCAATAGGCTATACACATGACAAAAAAGAATACTGGCACTGTTTAACTTTCCAGATACCAGTAAGTTATTAGGTAGGCATTAGAATTCCCCACCTACTGGTTGAAGGTGGATTACTTAGACCAATGGGTCAAAGATACACTGAATGTCTACAACGAAGTACCAAAGAAATATAAATACAATTAAATTATAAAGATAGCTAAGAATGAAAAATGAATAAAGTGAATAAAATAACAACTAAAATTCTTGGAATTATATTAATAACCACGACTACTAAGTTCATTACGATTTTTTCAAAAGAATGGCTACTGAACACAGAATATTCTCTTCGATAACCTCTTCTTCAGCGCGTTCTAGTTATATATACATAAGAGTGAGTGAATGAGTGTTATGAACAACATTAATGTTCAAGTGTTGGTTTGTAGGGATTTGATTGATTGGTTACAGGATTTCATCATGAGCTATCCAGTACTCCCAGGTTTTCCAGTGGTTCTCTAACCAATTTCAGCCCATGATGAAATCCTGTAACATTAATGTTGTTTAAATCACATCGAATCAATAGTAATATTAATATCAATGGATTACATACAGTCCGATAGCATCAACATAACAATGCACTGAATATCAGACAAGTTAGGAAAAATAATAATAATAATACAAATTCATGAATTTGCAGTCTCTACTGACGGTCAGGGCAGTAGTAGCGGCTGAACTTGCTTCTTCTGAACACAGAGCACTGGTTGTTTAAGGCGAATCGAGATAGCCTCTTCTGTTAGAAGTATGCAATACCTGGATATTTTTGTCACTAATGTATTTACCATTATAGATATGTATATAACTGTAGAACCTGATGATAAAGTTATCGAAAAGACTATCCTGTGTTCAGTAATCATTACGACTTGTTTAACAATTCATATCAGCGTTGTTACTACATATCCACAAACTATTCCCTCACGTCATAAGAGTTATAATTAAACAAATACGTGCGTACATATTTTAAATTTTCATTGTAATGAAATTAAAAAAGCACTAGATGGGAGTGAATAAAGTTTGTGTTAACGGTCGGCAGAAAAAAGCCAACATGACTTACTGTTATTTATAAAATATACCTATCGTAGTAAGACATACTGCACATGTACGACATAATGAAATATGGTCATCTGACATAACAAGAGTTAATTACAAATACCGCAGGAAGCGGTTGACAGATGCTGAGAGTTACTCCACAATTCATTATTGCACAGTGTAAGTTGCTGTATGTAGTCTTTCTTCACTAGCACTTCCACACAACTACTGATATACAAAATACTACATTGTTTAAGGTATTCAGTTTGTCTAGTTATACGCATGACCAGTTAATAAGGCAAGTGATCTAGGCTATTAGTCTTATGTTTGAAGTGCGAGTGTTTGTGTTATTATGGTGTGCGTGAAATGGGATTTGAATAACCATGTGCTTTTATATCATCTATGATTAATTAAAGATCATGCGAATGTTTTATTGACCTAACTTCCGTAGTTTTAATTATGAAACTATTTATTATAATAAGACCACAACTAATCCTATGGTAAATAACACCTTTGAGCCACTATAAGCATTATAAGCGAAACAAGTGTCGTAAAAAAGAATGCTGAAATTAGAGAACACAAATGCTTATAAACAAGGACTGATAATTTAGTGGATACCTAGAAAGGTGTACAAGAACATGGGCATGGTGCATTATCCAATATTCTAGCATTTGACTTTTACTTTTTAACGATGTAAAAACTATGTATAGATAATCAGAAAGGTTGGATAGTTAGAGAATCTAAGCAAGTTACCAGAGGTTTGTATAATAGAACAATACATAACTCAATGGAAGAATTGTGATATTTGCTAGATAGAGCACATTGTTTCATTTCACGCATTCCCTAGACAAATTTTAGCTATAGCTTATTCAAAAATTTGAATCCATAGAATGATAACCTTCTATGCTGGAACATAAAAGGACTCACCATGCAAATACAGATAAATATTACTAACTCATCCCTTTCAAGCTTATATATGTACTGAACAATGAGCTGAACTTGATGTGTACGCTCAGTGGGGACTCAGTTACTTAGAAAAAGTTTTTTTATGCAACAGTCTATGAGCCATACACACACACACACGCTTATCATGTGAGGGCTGAAGATACTATCCAGTCGCCTTGGTTGAAGCAGGTGAAACAAGCTTCAAACCCTGTACATATTAGCTTAAAGTCTAGCGCCAAAGCCAATAACTAACATCTCTACTATTACATATAAGCTCTTATAATACTATACGGCTGCCACATCCGAAGAAGAACTGAGGTTGTGAAGTTACACAGATTGAGATGGTCAGGACATGTGTTACGCGTGCATTCACTCTTTGTGATTTATAATATCCAATAGAATTCTACTGTTTTTCCATATTACTATTCTTTTTGCCTCATATTTCTTTTTATTATCTCTCTTTTGAATCTTTCTTTAATCCCTTCTCTTGCTTTGTGTGCCACTTGGAGTGTGGCAACTTGAACTGCTCCAATTCCGTGCAAAGTTCTACATTGGAACCAGTCAGTCAGAAGTAGAACCGATTTGAACACACTACTCCCTTCACCTCATTTCTGGTCTAAACTCCACATTCTGGACTTTGATCTGGACAGTCAGATATACAGTACAACCAAAAACAGTTACAACACATAGCTTACATATGCCTATAACATGTCACTGAGTTGCATTTTGTTACCACTAACATGGAAAGTTTCAGAGAACTTTAGATAAATGACTATGTTCTTAATAGATAAACGGTATATTCTGGTCTGATCGGTTTAAATATTGAATGAGAACCCCCATAAAGAGAGCATAGGCATCTTGGAGATTTTCAACTTTACGCTTAGCTTACAGATAATAACTTCTTTCAGGCAAATGCATTACCGACCGTAATATTTCCACTATTTCTTATAGGAAATCTACTTAGGTAACGCTTTTATTATCACTTAGCTGACTCATAAGATACAGTGCTTGTGTAAGTCTATAAGCGATAAAGATGGATATTTTATGCATATTATTTTTAAAAAAAGCGCTTCTGCACATATTCCCTACAGCTTATCAGTTGCTTAATTTAATCAAAGTGACAAATGTCAATATTGGAAGATACAAAAACCCTAATAAATCAATTCTAAAGACTAAAGTGCTAAACCACGACTGTAGCACAATAATATAAAATATACTAACACCCCATTATACCAAAGATAACAATAAACATAATAAGTTGTGTAAACACAGTGTTAGTGTGAAATTCATAACTCCATCGGTACATACATATATATATATATATATATATATATATACAATCTTTCAAATTTAACAGTAGAGTCTTCTTAGGTTGTACTACTTTCTGTCATATGAATTTCAGTGCACCTAGGAATATAAATTAAGTGTTATTGTTTGACAATTATAGATAACGGTCAAAAACGAATAAAACCTAAGGAATATTGAAAAGAAGCACTTTGTCCTCCCAATGTATGGTATGCCTCTATGCCACTAGATGAAGAATACAATTTAGAAGAGTTGAATTCTACAGTGTATATATAAGTTAATCAAGTCTTAATAATTGATAAGATACTCCAATGACAATTGCAGTCACTGAAATGAGTAAAGCACACTTTCACGTATAATGAATGGTAATGAGGAGAATGATTACCATTGGCCTATATCTTCAGTTTTATTTGAAGACTAAGGAGTGTATGGTTTACAACGCAATTACTTAAATCCTTGCGTCATCAATTATTTGATTTCAAGCTAACGAAAAGGTAGATCCAGTAATATGAATTGTTTAGATAGTTAGTCATTTTTGACTTAGTTCCCCAGAACACAGTTGTCAGGTACCAAACTATGAGTAGCAGTCATCGTGTAACGTTTGGGGATGCTACACAGTTGCTCTGGTTGAAGTTGGTGGGCCGGGATTCCAACTCCGAACCTACTGGATAAAAGTCAAGTAAGTATTGCAGCCAATCAGCCAGATCTCAAATAAATTGAACTAAATGCCCGTAGGAAAAGGAATGTATGTGTGCTGATTTCCTAACGCCCATTAACTTTTTCCTGTAATATTTAACTGAATGATAACATACAGGAAAAGACTGCAATTGTCGGCATTAGATCGTTGGAGGCAATCGGCAGGAAACCTTGCTCGACCTAGGTTTCGTGCTAGTTGGCACTCACTAGTCAGTAAGGCGTATCTGCAACCTCGAAGGAACTCATGTCCCTTTTGAGATTCAAACCCACGTCACCCAGTGCCGCCTGCAGTCAGAGACGTTTCCACTGAGCTATTCAGGCTTGCAACTGACCTCCTGTAGCTAGGTGGCCTCCTAGGTTGCCTCCAACCATCTAATACCAACAGTTCACAGTGCACCGTGATGGCGAGCCACCTAGAACGGTGGCCACATTGCAAACCTGACTGATAGAATTCAGTCTGCACCAAAGATAAGACTACACACACACACACACATCACACTAGTTACTGACTAGTGTCCAATCAAAAAAGACTGCAATATATAACAACAAATAACAAGTACAAAGTACAGACAAGAGGAGAGACATGAAAAAAAAGAGAAAAACAAAATTAATTCTTATTCAGATAATATCAATAAACAATATAATGAATAGAGTCGTTATCTGCACGCAGATGATTTCCATAAAACAAAAAAATAGTGAGGAAGAGTCAACTCACTTTAGTCATCTCTTCGACGTATCGAGCACTTTCAGTATCCAATTCAGCTATTGCTAATTTGTATGCGTTACGAGTTCGTTGAACATCTTTTTCAGCTTTTGCAAGCTTTTCTTGCATCTTTTTAAGCTATAGTACACAAAAGAAGAGGGAATAGTTTAGTTTTAAGTAACTACCGAAAAAACAAAAATCTACCAAAACATAAAAATTTCAGACATATATAGCATGCATTCATCTTTATTTATCCCTCTAATCTACTGTAAAAAACTGTCAATAGATGACTGGTTGATAATTAAGTGAAATAAGCAGTTGTGGACTGCTAACGTAAAGAGTAGAAGTTGGATACTGTGGTACAATATAATTCCATAATAGATAGGTTTATTTAACATATCACACAGTTGATACAGTATTCATATTATTAGTATTATTGTTATTATTATTGCTTCCTTTAATTCCTAGAAGAAAATAGGGCTTCAGCCATGCGTCTCCATTGCGTTCGGTTCTCTGCTAGAGTCTTCACCTGGCTCCAAGTCTGCCCACACGCTTTCATCTCCTCTTCACATGACCTCCTCCAAGTCACCATCGCACTGACGACCAACTCGCCGCTTCCCTTTCGGGTTCCACTCGAGCAATGGCTTGTCTAGTGATGTCACTTGATGGATTGTTTCCTCAGAGTATGGCCAATCCATCTCCATTTCTTCCTGCCTATTTGTTTCACAATCGGTTCATGGTTGGTTCTCTCCCAGAGATCTCTGTTGCTGATCTTTTCTGGCCAGCCATCTGCTCTTGAGTATTGAGCGAAGACAGCTGTTAATGAAGGTCTGTAGTTTGTTTGAGATGCTCTTTATGACGCGCAGTGCAAGTCTCTGATCCGTATAGTAGCACTGACTTTACATTGAAGTTGAAAATCCGGATCTTATTTTTGATGCTGAGTGCTGTTGACCTCCACACAGGCTTGAAAGTAGTGAACAATATTCATAACTGGATGACATTTCAAGCACAATTTATTGCTGATAAACATATCACAATATGAACTGCTGCTAATCTGAACTTCAGTAGGCTAAAAGCCCAAGAAAATGTTGACAATATAAGTCAAGACTGACAATTAAAAAGGTTGAAATCAACTGAACGGTTGGTTATACACACCAATGATTTTAGTATTTGTAGAGTTTACGTCAATTTTCCAAAATTAAAATAAAAAATTCTAGACAATAATAAATCACAACATGAAATCAATAAGACAAAAAAACAGTTCCACAATTTTTTACACTTTTTTTTCTTAATGACCATTAAATTTATTACATGTATTCAATCGAAAAAAAGAATGTTTGAGAAGTTGATCAGTTGAAAATACATTGATGAATTTATCAATTCACTTAACCCATATCATCATAATTTATATGAGACACACACTAATTATAAACGGAACACACCAGAGCAATCAAATTATATTTAACACACTGATTTGAAAATATTTATAATAAAACAAGAGGACGAAAAAGAGAGAAACACAATGAGGAACTGTAATGCAGAATAAAAAAACACAAAAAGTATGCTGATTGGAAACTGCCACCACAAATTATTATGCAGGTTAATTTTTCAAAGTGTTGCGTAGTAGGGCTTTGATAGATTTTGAGGTAGATTTCGTCACACACACACACACACACACACATGAACACGTATATATCAACATCAGCCAGATAACCACAGAAAACCAGGAAACACTGGACAGCTGTTTCATCCTAATTTTGAACTCATTAGTAGGACTCACGTGTAACTACAATCCTGAAGAGTCTCAAAATAGGACGAAATGACTGTCGAGTACTCCACGATTTTCAGTGATATTACATATAAATTTATATACATCTTCGAATTATATCAGAAGAGCTTAGATATTTTAGCTTATGACTATTATTCTCAATTATTTCTAATGAATTCATACATTTTAGTACTTAAAAGATATAGGGGTGTCCAGTTCTTTTGTCATCATCCTACAATCCATACCTGTTAATCAGAAACAAGATGTTAGATACTGAAAAGCGAACCAATGTAAAACCTTGAGTAATAGAGCATAAATTCAAGTTGTCACACTTTGAAGCAGCACACAAAGACGAAGTAAACAGAAAAGAAACATTACAGTAAAATAGCATGAGCATTTCGAAAGGATAATTTATATTAAGACTATATAATGGTAATATTCAAACTTTTGATGACAAAAAGTGAGTAGATCTCTGCCAGTGTAAACCGTTTGGAGTCATGTCAGTACCTCTTAATATCTTAAGGATCGTAGCCAGACAGCCCTTCGTAACTCACAAAAAGCAGTTCAAAAACTCTTACTTTTGTGTTGTATTTTGGTCTGACCACACTAAACACTACAAACCAAAGTGTGCTTCAGCTAATATTGTGGTAAGAGCTAGCTGCTAGCCAAAGTTGGTAGACAGTAATTGACATCATTGTTTATGTCCCCAATATTGATGGTGAGAAAATGAGAACAAAGGCTTTGCGTAGGCGGGTACAGTTAGCATATGGATGATCTGACACAGCCACAAAGAGATGCAACGTTAACTTTCTGTGAGAAACAACCAATCAAAAGACTGTATTTTCTACTAACAATAATCTACAATAATGTACATCAAAATCTATAAATGTGTTGATTTTCTTTAATAAACGATCTGTTACCTGGCCCTTGTCTTCTGTTGTTACAATATTACTTTACTTGGATTATAACTTTGAAAGTAGTTGTGTGAACGCTCAAAATCTTAATCGTATTGTTGACTGTAATCACCAACACTGTGCAATAGTATTTTTCCGTGTGAATTTATACAACACTTGACGTATCCCCTACCCACATTAGAATGATTCCAGAGAAAAACGTACGAGTACTCATCAATTTCTCAAGAAATCTTTTCACCTTCACTGTATTTACCTACATGTAAGTAAGCATTTTGGAAAAACTTACTGGTCTGGTATGCATCAGCTAAAATATTAAACTGCTCCAAACTAAAATGAAGCTAGTTAGTATCAAATGCTCTTCAGTGACCTCCAGCATTTAATTAACCAACAAAAATTAAAGCTATCATCAGAAGAATCTATTCCCTGCGAATTACTTACAGTAAGTGTTTCAAGTTAAAGGTGCGTCGGTGGCACAGCGGTTAGGACGCTCGCCGACCATGCACATGGTCCGGGGTTCGATCCCCGGCCGACGCACTCCTTTACCTCGCAAACCAGAAATAATGCTGGTGAAGAGGGAAGGTTGGGCACGTGGCTAGCAACCCCATCCTGTAAAATGAACACTGCTACAGAAACTTCAAGCCACTAGCTTGAAGCCCTATGTTCCACTGGGGAACGTGAAGAAAAAAAGTGTTTCAAGTTCGTGTTTATGATCACAATGTTACACCATACAGCTATATTTAAGCACAAATGATGAAAAACGCTTTTCATAAAAACCAGAAGTCAAAATACAACAATTCCTAAAACGGTTCTGAATTGCACCATTCTAGTCAGTTGAAATGATCAAATAACCTACTGTGCTTACATACACATTAGCATACTCACGTACACACAAACACACACCTTGACACCACCAACTAGCACTGAACGATTTGCAAACATTATACAAGGACTGCTATCATGAAAAGTGCATAATTTATACACATTATCCACTCAGCATAGAAGATTGAAAAAAAGAAAAGAAAAAAACTAGCGATAAGTCACTGTAACACAACAGACACTAAATATCGCAGATCTTAAATAAACAATCTAATGTTTAAATGTCTACCAATTTTGTTTACCAAAACAATAAAAAGTAGTTCATGAAAAATAGCATGACAACACGAATGACTAATCATAACTTAAACAATTCTCCTTAAAAGAGGTTAGCATAAGCAATGTCAGAAGTATACATATCTACACGCAATTATTAATTTTCCAAAAACTAGTACATTAAAGAGAACTAATCTATGTTACTGAAAAAAAAGACTGGAAACAGCTTAAAAGGGTATAGGTAATTTAATGAAGTAAAACACAGTAACAAATTTATGCACGCTAATAAAAGCATACTAGGAGTTGTCTGCGTGTGACTAGTACACTCTAATGCCTCTCTATTTAGACAAATTCATGTGAGTACACTTAAAAGCCACGGCAAAGTAGACGTTGCTTCCACATACACACATACACATACACACGCACTACTAATTTCTATCATCTGCATACCTTGTTATGTTCTAATTTTATCGTATAACTTCCAGTACATTTTGTTGACTGTACTCCAAAGAGAATTCAAAAAATACAACAATCATAAAAGTGCTAAAGTTGCTTTGACAAAAGTTAATCAAATATCTAATCAATCCATAAAATAATAGTGAGAAAGGTTTGATCATTTACCAGTGAAATGTCACCCGTCTGATAAAGTTTAGACAATCTAAATTATGTAAGAGAGCAAATCAGTTGACACGATCAAGATTGTAAGCGACGTAATACCAGACTTTCAGCTAAATTTATTGTGTGAAAGTTGATGATGCTACCCAGTTTCCCAGGCTAAAGTAGGTAGAGCATGATTCGAACCCGGCATCGATTGTGTGAAAATCGAGTACCTAAGTCAGCGAACTGCATCTCTATGTAATACGAAATACCCACTCAGTGAAGATCGACTACATTATATACCTTTCCATGCCTTAGTAACTGTAGAATGTAATGTTGAATCCATGAACAATTATGCCTCAGTTTGACATATGAAAAAAAATTAAAAACTGTATGCCTTATGAAACAATAATACAAAAGATTTACTTGCAAAACAAATATTAGGATTATGCTGATGTCTCCAGCCCGTGTGGTCATATAATTATTAACGTTTTATTGATCCACGGTCTTAAATCACAGCAGGTATTCCGAGATTGGAAGAGATTCACAGACTAATGGGAATCCCAACTCTTATTTCTTAGTATTTATTTTTACACATTTTGCAATATCATTGCGATTGTTTGGACAAATCAGCTTCAAGAAGCGCTGCGTGGATAACTTTACTGTCTGTCTGTGTGTTTTCGACCTAGAACTTTGCACATATGTGCGGCAGTTCAAGTCGCCACACTCCATGTATCACACAAAGCAAGAGACGAAAGTAGAAGAAATGCATAATAGAAACAGTAAACAGAGGTGTGAGACAAAGGAATAGTAATAACGAAGAACAATATAGTTTCATTTGAAATCATAAGTCACATCTGCGCTATTGAGAACGATTTTGAGCCATATCACCAATTGTTTCCAACCATTGGTTTTTACTGTCCAAAGGACTCCAACCAGGAAGTTTACACCTTCCTACGTGGCTTAGACAAACTGTCGTAGATTTCATCGACTGGTGCCATGTTTTCGTTTGACCGCCGCTAGCTCTTTTCCAGCCTGACCCTATGTCAGCTAACATTTCCCGTCGAGGAAGGCATACGTAACACATGTCCTAATCATCTCAGTCGATGTAATCTCACAGACTCGTTGATTGATTTCTCCTCCTTACCTAGCACTCGACGCCTAACCTCAATATTACTTACCTTATTATACCACTTCACACGGGAGATAGAACGCAGACACCTATGATCAAACTTTACTAGCCGCATTTCAAACAGTTAATAGATTTAGTTTTCGCAAGCCCTATTCCAACAAAAACTGAAGTGTTGTGAGTTTGTTGACAGGCCTATAGTTAATTATTTACACTACGGCACGCGCGACTGTTACACTGGCCTTTAAAGCCACAAGGAGGGTTTTCATCCAAACTAATTAGAAAACTTAGAAATAATAAAGCCTTATATATATATATATATATATATATATATATGCACAGGGAGGGAGATTCCTTCCCGACACCTATATGGAAACTAAATTATTATAAGAGGGTTGTACTAAATCTACAATAAAAATATCAGTCCATTTACAACGATCAAGCTCAAACAACCACAGCATGATGAACAGGGTATTAGAACAAAGAAACACACTACTTAGAGACGTTTAATTATCTTTATGTTTAGTGTTAACCGATCACAATCAATCCAGAGCAAGCAGTGAAACGTAAGTGTCATAATAAAAAGAAGTAATAAACACGAAATAGTATGACTCATATTTATATGTCAAAGGAATTACTGACTAAATTATTCAGTCATATGCACAAGACACAACTGCTTAGACAAGCAGCTACCATTGGACAAGCAGACATTGTAAAATTAATTAGTGAAATTATGCTACACAACTTTTATTAAAACAAATACACCGATTTTACCAAAAAAACAAAATGTCACAGGAAGCAGTCATCGTAGTTACTCTGACACCCAAACAACAAAACATAAAGTAGGGATATTAAGTATGACTAGAATACATCAGAAATTCAGTAAATCAGTTATCTGTTAAAATGATACCAATAGGATAGTAATCTTGGAGACTGCTTTCTATTGTGGACTAATCTGATAAAAGACAAATGGATTTTACAAATAATCATTAAGAAATTTTGTATTTAGATTTTGTGTTTATTATTGCTCATAACTAGTGAATGTGTGTGTTGCTACTGTGAAGACACTTATGCCTCTTCTACAAATGTCTACGGTTATTACGAGTTGTACACTAAGTGTTACAAAAAGAAAAGTGACTGTCCCAATATATTGAAGTACTCTAACGCAGGCTATTTATCTGAACAATTACTAAGACTGTCCAACAACCACTACTAGATAACTTTAACTTATAGGTGAAGGATAATTAAACGCCTAAACCTGAATATTTTTAAGATAATCGAATACCAGCAACTGTGTTCAGATGCACAGTGAAATGAAACATTTAAACCAAACAAAATATTAAAGTAAACCATAGACAGTGAAATCAAAAGCTGTGCTTTTAAATACATCTCTATTAGTTACCAATACTTTATGAAGAGTTAAGGAGAAAAACGAACAGTTTTAGAAGAATGACTCTGTGGGAATAGTTATATAGGTCTTACTTTGAAATTTATGAAAATGTAAGCTGACTGAACACGCGGAAATCTAACAGTTGAAAAATGTTTCACTGAAACAATTATTACCAAATTTTAATGTCACAAAATTCACAAAATCTACCTGCATTCTTTACAACATTCTGTTTATTCCCCTACGTTGTCTTTTCCTATGCCACAGAACAGTTATATGTTGCTAAATATGTGGTCAGGACAATTAGATCTCTCTTTGCCATAAATGAATATAGAGATAAGTAAGCACTGATAAGTCGTGTAATAGGAATGAAACTGTAGATAATCAGTAAGTAAACCAAAAAAGGAAATCATAAATCCCAATGTCACCAGTAAAATAGCACACACACAGAGCCAACTCACCTTTGTATTACCGCTCTACCAATTAAACATCAAAAATAAATTACCTTCAACACTGATGGCTTTGTAGCAAAAGAAAATACATCCAATGACGGTAATAGGTCTTCAAAAACTTCCCTACTTCACATGACATTTATGTACACATCACAAGGTTGAATTTTGACTGGTAATGTAACATCTGTATCTTCACGCACACACACGCGGGCGTTTCAGGATAAACTCCTGTTATAACGATTAGACAAGTGTTCAGAGTAGTGTCGAGTATGCCACGTTTGATCAACTTTTTGATAAACCTTTCTTCTTAACGCACAGAGTATGCTATTATGGAGATAGTTTATTTGGCCTGATATTCTACACAACTCTACCTATCATTTAAAAGTCCCACTATACACAAAACAAACCACACACAGTAAAAAGGCGTCGAAAACTACTACATCACATCGACAGGAAGCAATATAAGGATGCTCAACTTAACACAATCAACAAGCCAAGTCTAGTGCGTTGACTTTCGAATGAAATCTCTAATATCATCTGAGGTTTACAGAATATGACGATTGTGCATAGTTTTCTTAACTGTGACTGACCATTTAGTAGCTCGAGAAATCTCAACAGGTAATTAATGCCATGTTATTTAGTTAGCAAAGGTAGTATCCTAGTTTGGTGGCCAAATTGAGTCAGGCAAGAACTAAGGATTGGAGATGAAACCTTGGTTACTTTCCAGCAATTAATCAGTGGAATTAACGCAATCTCAATTGTGCTGAAAAATTTTAGTGGTAACATCTCTAACTTAAGTATTGAGTGATGTAGGTTCCAATCTTTGAGAAAATTTTTTTTCGAACACATAAACATCCTGCCAATGAGTGCCAACAATTACCAGAGATTGCCGAGTATCAGAAAACTGAATAGCTATCTTACCTGGATATTATATAAACTCCTCTTCTCTATTGAAAACTAATTTTTAACCTTACAAAGGCGAAATGAAAGGAAATCAGTACGTCTTCACGATTCCCGTAGAACAGTCTGGAGTTTAAAACTGGTAATTTTGAGGATGCAAGTTTCCGATCCTAACGTGACCTGAGTTTTCAATTCACCTTAAGTCAAATCATCCCCATTAAATGAAAATTTAAACTTGTAAACTAACAGTGTTACGTTTCGATCCATTTCGAACACTTCACTAAGCAAACGTTTTTTATCAAATGAATGTGATTAGTTAGTGTATAGAATACGGAACATTAAAATTATAGATTAAAACAAGCTGAGTTTTACTTGCGATCAATTTTCCCTACGGACGAAGTAAGCTGATTAGATAACCTATTATTAGATTACTGAAACTGTAATTGCATAATACACAAAATTATTTGAAGCCTGGTTTGATTATCAAAATCAATAATTCACCTGTTCAGCTGTACCACTTGGGTCATTTTTTGCGTTTTGAACTTGAACTTGTAGCGATCTTTCTGTTTTACATGCCTGATAATACTCTTTCTTGGTGGAATGCGCCCGCTTTAAACGTTTAGCCCACAATTTCTGTGCCATTTCGAAATCTTGATCAAATTGTTTTGTTTCCTTTAAATTTTGTGGTGGTAATGAACTCTTGTGAAAGTGTTCCTTTTGCCAGTGCTTAACACCTGTTTGTATTTCATCCAGAAGGATATTGCGTACATTCTTTAAACACAATTGGAAGAAAAATAAAACTATTTAACAAAATTCATAGGATTATTAGCATGAATAAGAAAAGATAATAACCAATCAACTCATATACTTAAAACAGATCTGTCCATTTTGATTGTAATCGTCCTCCGTATTTATTGAGTATGCCTTTACCTAAACCTTTGAGATATCACTTATTATTTAACGAGTGCCAATTTCGGAAGTCGTATTAACTTAATGGACTGGTTCTTGACGAAATCTCAATGAAGATATAGAGGACTCGTTTGGTATTCGACAATTGGAGTCACATTTAGCGCCAAATTGGCATCCAGCTACCCATCAAAGTGCGTGTATGTATTGTGCCAAAGTTTAGTCTCTCCTAATCTACGTTTGCGAGAAATAATTGTTGAAAGTAAGACATGGGAAAATTCGAGGCTTGCAACCATAAGCGTCTTTGTACAATTGCTTAAACTAACTGGAGCAATACGGTAAGCAATAACTACGTGAGGCATAAAGTGCAAGGTAAAGAAGGAATGTTGGCTGATAAAGTTATGGAACCTCAAAGCACTCCCTTCCTTAACGAGAAGTTTTAGCTAAAATAAAACTAAGCTAAAAGGAGTTAAGAGTGGCCGGACCAAGAGATGGTATTAATCCAGTACCTGAATGAGCAGCATAAGATATAGAAAGCATGGTCTGGGGTACTCAGTATGTTATAAACCAGTGATTGCCGAATCTTAATAACAAGGCTCAAAATCACTTACAGAGGTATTTACTCCTAATTGTCCCGCAGCTTTTGAGAATATTCACTGATCTCCACGCAATTATTCCCTTCTAGATATGTTCCACTATTGTCTACCTACGTTTTGTTCCTAACTTTTGTGTGCTTTCTGGAAGTGTAGAACCTTTAATTAATGCAATTTTGTGATTTTTTACGCCGTTAAAGCAGTTAGTCTGTCGTTATGTTACATATGAACGTGTACATGTTGAAAGTCACACCATTCGACGTCAGCTTTTTACTCGATATGCGAGATTTATTTAACAATTAATACCAAGCCGCGTTAAGTAAATAATAAACAGTGGTATACTTCTGTAGTATCCAAATGTATTCCTAACACCTAATCGTGATACTAATACACTTCTGCTGAACATGGTAAGAAAAAACCTGTGGAAACTAACATGAGTTCCATACAAATTAAATGAAACATGACATCAAGGTTTCTTGCCAACTATTGGCTATTTCATTTATTTAATAAGTCACATTATTCTCATCTAATAAATGGATTCTACCGTGAAAGATTTAGCTGTCACACTACATTCTATATCTGGGTAACTAGTATGGCATCAAAATGCCTATCGAAAAACAATTATCCTGTACACTAGTTTAACCATACTCTGATGAAATCGAACATGAATATGAAGATGTTTAAGGCGACTGAATACAAATGTTCTTAAAGTAACCACAGTACACAATGAATTGAGCAATCGAAGAGGGGATTTATACGTCTAAATGATAATACTAAACAAGCATACCATGCGAGGTTAAACCGATTACGCAAATTAGACTACAGTGGAAATCAGTCTTTTAAAGTGAAAAACATTACTAGACAACCACTCGCATGCAGCTGGCGATGACTGATAACCATTGTGTGAGGGCTAGTGATAATACCTAGCGGCCCGAACATCGGTAGGTGGGACGGCGTCCAAACCCATGACACTGGTTCGAAATCAAGCACTTAGAACAATGAGACACAGCTCCACACTTCTTAAGACACTAAACCAAGAGTGCTTGTGAAATCGCCCAATTTCCCACTCACTTTGAGGTAGATACCCACTGGACGAAAACCGAGTGTATAAACCATTGTGCTGACCCTGGACGTTAGTTATGCCAACACTATGCTAAACAGTAACGACTGGAACAAATACAGTTGGTCTAGATTAAAACCATTTTACAATACCCAAAGGTCTTGCATTGTCCCTTTGCTAATTCTCGAGCATTTGGTGAACTCAGGCCATGTAGCTCTATCGGAGTCGTCTTCCAATACCCAAAGGTATTTTATTCCAGCCTGTGAAAAATGTTCTACAAGTGGCTTATTTAGTATACTTCTTAACTCCCCCCTGAAAACTGTACGTAGTGGATCACAAATAATACTAAGTAGCTAGATTTACAGAATTCCTTGTTTTACAAACAAAACCTTGTACTTAAGCATGCAAAATCTTGGCCTGCTTTATTTGTTACGCGTTCTCCATGAAGAAACAAATGTTTCTACCTGTCTACAGTTTACTTAGATACTCGCTATTGCATACTTGATTTCTGTGGAACAAAGGTGCAGGGTAAAGGCGACACACATGAAAACACACCTTGAAAACCCGAAATTCTTGATAAGATATGGTACAATGTCACGACAGTTAACAATGAAAGTGTGTTCGGTTTGTTAGTTGAGCAGAAGTCACGAACTCCTAAGCAATTCAAAATATATCTATCCTACAATTGTGAGTGAATATTTTCGAGAAAATAGATCAAAACTATTATAGTATGTAAGTGTACATGAAAAAAAACATTTTATACAACTTTTAAGAAGCTACACATTTCAAAAGCAATTACTTGGTGAATATTTGATATAGCCTCTGCTTCTTTACATAATCCTCTCCAGGGAGATGATCCAGTTCCATACTCTAGACCCGAGTCCAGAAAACTGAGCCAGCGAGAAGACCACTTTTTGAGATTAGATGAATAAGCTTTCTCTAGTTCTGCACGCTCCTGGATCATCAAGCATAGTTCACTACACAATTTGTTTGCACCGTCCACGCGTTTGACTGTTCTTTGATATGCTCTACATTCCCAAAATGACGATCCGTTAGAGCAAATTTGATCTTCACATTCACCATTTCCAATCATAACTAGATTGAGAGCATATGTAACAATCGAAAATATTTCTACTTGCGCGCTAGTTATACTGGATCACAAATTCGACAAGACAAAGCAAAAATGTACTTTTAAAGTTAACATTTATTTTTTAAATCAGTTAGGCGCAGTTTACCAGAATACCACTTAAATATTATTCTGGGAATGTATAAATTCAATTTACGGAACGTTTTAGGTAGATATCAGACACCTAACATCCAATCTATTTCCGACGAATTTGTGTAAACGCTATACTTCTTGGTGCTGTCTTCTTTTGGTTTTAGGGAGTTTTCAGGTTTTTGAAGGGTTTTAATGTCATTCGTGTCGTTGATCACTATACCTCTGCTGAACGCAGTATGATAAGCTGTATAAGTTTGTTTTGCAGGACTGTCAAATGTTCGCCAGCGTATTATTGAACACTGGTTTAGGTTTGTAACACATATTTTGCACGGTTACAAACTTTTACGTTCGTCTCGCACTACTGGAAATTTGGTTTCTTTAACAATACATCTTTTCAAGTTTTCACTTCTGCTTCTTAATACAACGTTGTTCGTCTTCAGTCGTGTGTAGTGATTAGCACATCGTAAAACGTGGGAACTTGCACATACTATACTATTATAATCGGAATCATATCTACTGCCCTAAAACATAGCTTACAAGACAATGAACTCAATAGTTCTTTACAAACAACATTTGGTATGATGAGTGTGCTTACAATACTCCGTCGTCCTTCCAAAATCTACCCCCATACCCTTCTCTGACAAGGCCTTGCTTAAGGCGAACTTATGAGAATATATTTTTCTTCCACCGAATAACCTGCAATACTTTCTTCTCAATAACTCAAAAGTATAAGTAATTAGAGATTTGAATGTCTTGAATGACGTAGGCTGAAAGCATTGATAATACAATAAAGAAGTTCAGAATTTAGTCGAAAATCAGAAGCAGGAGAACTGTAAGTTTCATTAAGCAGCTCACTTTCAGGCAAAGTTGTCAAAATAACTGAGCTGAGAGGCTGTAATTAGGAACTAAATTTCTCATAGCGACTTAGTTTTGAGAATAAGGATACTGGTGTATTACGCAATAATTTGTGACCTGTACACATTCATATTTGAATAAACACCTCTCCAAACAATACACTTAACGGTCATCAAAGGCTCTGTGATAGTGAATCGTTCTGTGCTCAGCACTAGGCACTGACCTTCACTGTTGAATTCGAATCGTCAGGCTGAAGTTTCGTGGCTAAGCATTCACACCGATCGGGGCGCTATCCTGTTACTCTCGGTTGTTCGTGTATGATACCCTAAATGGCTAAGCAATCAGGTTAGATGGGCCAGCCTAAAGAATCAACAGCTAGTGTGGCCAGAGCTGATATCTGGCAGCTTAGGTTACCACACATCAATACTGAGCGCTATTTCTAGTTAAAACCAAATGGAAACGACCCCGAAATAGTGCAGGCGACCTAAATGTTTGATTGGCTAGAATATCTCAACCACAGTACAATAAGTTACCTCCTCATTACGACGACTTGATCCTGACAAACTTCAACGAGCCGAAATTATATCCAACCATATGCTCCTTACTGTCGATTTGACCGTCGGGTAATCCAAGGGCACCTCCACTTCATATGGCACCAAAAATGGCAATGATTGGCAACTCACCGGTGGTTACCAAGGTCTGTGCTTGAAAACTATCCCATACTACAATTAATTGATGCATATACACTACGTGAACGAGGCAATGGGTGGCACTACTATTGTTTCAAAAATAGACTCATTTCAGGCGTGCAATCGAATCCCTTTAGTGCCAGAAGACATTCCAAAAACAACTATCAGCTCACCCTTCATGCTGCTGGAACTCTTACTCGTGCCATTTGGTCTCCATAATGCAGCATAAACATCCCGACGCTTCACCGACGAGGTTTTTAGCCGTTTTCACATTGTATACGCGTGCTCAGACGAATAATACATTGCGGGTTCGAATCGGGAAACTCACCTCCTACAGACTATGCCGTAAGTACTCAAATGTGTTAAGTGGGAGTGGAATTCCATGAATTTAATGGCCGTACTATTGACTGAAAAGGTATCCACTCACTGGCCAGAAAAGTCAAAATAATATCAAACTTTCTGGGGACAAAGGCCATGAAACATCTTCGAATTTTTAATGATATTGTAGGTTACTGCCGACAGTTTATCCCCAACCAAGCCGTATTAATCCAGCTGCTGACAAACTACCTTCGAGGAATAAGATTGCATAGATATCAGCGTGTCTGCCAGAAGCACTCTCGCCAAAGATGAAGTAGACACCACCGATACCACCTCACTTAGGCATCAGAATTCAATGGCATCCTTAAGTACCTCAACTGAAGTATCTGATACTGCAATTCTGCAACAACTGGTCAACCAGGAGGTTACAAACAACGAGAACAAAGCATGGCGAATTCAGTAAAGAAATTCTGGCTATGTGCTCTGTCATTAACCACTTCGGCCATTCAGCGGAGGTCACGAATTCATCCCTTCCATATGCCAAAAACCACTCACTATTCTCTGAACTCAATTCCAGGTAGGTATTCATTGAGGGAACTACGCCAGCGAGATCACGTTCCAAAATATACCTCCGTTTTTTATTATAATAATATATTCTCAGTTTTTGTACGTGAGGGACGCCAGTTTACAGGGATAATAAATATGATACGAAGAGTAAGCATATTTACAATTATTCACTTACATAATATATACACAGAAAAGGTTATGGAATAATACTTATAGTGCCACTTCACACAAGGGGAAGCGATGCATACAGTATAATGCAAAATATCTCCACTGAAGGATTATAACCAAATGTGCGTCATATTTGATGCTTGCGTACTGGAGATAGGCATGGCAGGTTATTCATAAAGTGACAAAATTGCTTTGCAAAGCGTTATGTAGTTCACGAATAATAATGTTATTAGCAATATTAACTGCCAATGACTCACCACACTAGTAAGTGTCCAGTTAGGTATACAAAGAAGTATTCTTCAGCAACAGGCAATTTTCAGTCCATATGCGGCCAGGAACCAGAATAAAGGCTAACTAATCCATATAAAATGACAGTGTAGCATGTAGGAGCTGGAAATTATCATCACGCTAGTCAGTGAAATTTCAAATGCAACCACCAGCATGTGTTCATCATTTCTTAAATAACCAGACTTGTTGGCACCTTACAGGCAGTTATCGGGATTTATTATTGGTGCAAAGGGAATATTCCACACTAGTCATCCAGGATGCGTCGCGGAGGGGGTAATGGGTAATTCATGAGGCCTTTATAGGATATGGGACCAGCAATGTTTGAAGATCATTAGTCATTATAAGCGGCCAAATGCCTTCATTCTTTATCCTCATTCAGAAGGTCATATATAAACTAAAATGGTGTGAGAAAAAAGAAGACGAACGACAGTAACTCAGGAGAAAGCAAGTAGAGTTCTCAAGGAGTGATTTATTAATTTACATATACATATATATTCTGTGTAGAAACTGATTATGTTGGTACACTAATTAACTAGTCATGTTATACTAACTTTTATATTATGCGTGAACTAATATTATTGTCCTTTGTAGAAGTGTTTACCATGTCCTTCCAGTAATATTGACATTTGTTATTGTAAATTATGCGTCTGGTAAACTTAAAATGTTTATATAGGGTGAAAAAGAGGGTGTAGGATTCAAACGCGGGAGTGAACTGCCATCTCTGAGCAGTCTGGTGACTGAGGAGATGAACACTGGAAGTGTTTGCATCACACACATCAGCTGGTAGTCTATTCCAAATGACTGAAAACTTATTTAAGAAGTTATACCGGATGTTAGTCTTACAATGCTCAGTAGCAACTAGGTTGTCATGATTTCTAAGATTGTAACTAATGATAGCGGTAGATTTAGTTATTGGCCTGCAGGAGTGCAAGAGATTTGTTAGCTTGTAGTAGAAAATAAGGTTTAGCTTGAGACGTCTTTTTCAGAGTGGTTCTATTTTCAGCCTGTCGTAACGCTCAGAGTATTCAAGACCACATTCTAAACCAAGAGTTCTTGAGATGAATTGCCGTTGCACTCCCTCTAAATTAAGCTGTCATTCTGTTGCAGTCCACCAAGAATAAACAAGCAGTATTCTAAAACAGGTTAGAAACATACTTTGTATAACAAAACCCTAGTTTCGCAACAAGAGAAAGTGCGAGTTATGCGTCCTAGGAGCCTTCGTGTTTTACGTCTGGCATAATCAGTTTGTTCAGAGAATGTTAAATTACTGGAGTATCTGACACCGAGATCTACGACTGAGTTGAGCCTGGTCAGCTTTCGTTCATTTACTTCAACAGTTAGGTCAAGGTTACTGTTGCCGACACAAATTTAGCCGCATTTGCCAATGTTAAACTTTAGACAGGACTCAGCACACCATATAGCGAGACTACTTAGTTTAAGAAGTGTTTTACTTACTATATTGTTTAGTTCATGACTGTAGCAGAAGCAAACGACTTCGAGGTTGTCAGCATGTAGGAATGGACTACCTGAGACGGAGCAGTCACAAGCGCCGTTAATGTAGACCGTAAAAAAGTGGTCCTAGGGCACCACTCTGCACAACCCCACTTGTGTTCTGCTTAGGGTGAGACAATACAGACCCGACTTTGGTTATTTGTATCCTGTCACTTAGAAATGACTTTAACCAGTTAAATAATGGATTTTGAATTCCACATGAGTGCAGGTTCTCAAAGAGAACGCTGTGGGATAGCATGTTAAATGCCCTACATATATCGACTAGCCTACGTGCTTCGCGACTACCAGTGATGCAGCTGAAAAAGTCAAAGTGACAAGTAACACAGTTCCTATTTTTGAGAAATCATGTTGACACTTTGTAACAAGATCTCTCCCAAGTAGATAGTCTAATTATCGATCTTTCTCCATGATTCGCGATATAACCGGGGTTATATTTATAGGTCTGTAATTGCGAACGTTCGCCTTATCACCAGATTTGTAGTGTGTAATTATAAAGCTGGTTTTGCACTCATTAGGGTAAGTGCAAGTGTCCA